CCTCATTGTCCACCTGAAGTGTAGTCTGGGAAATGTCCTCCGCATGCACAGATTTGTCAATATGAGTTAAACATCTAGGCATCTGATGAGCATCTTTTTTGTGTATTCACTTTTGTTTGTTAATTTGTTAACCATACTTACGGAAGGCTTTGGTTCTTCAGTTATTTACGAAAGACTAGGTGACAGGTAGGGTTGTGGACCAGAAGGTATTGTATAGTCATCAGAAGTGTTTCTACAGCTATTGGCATATTTGAATTTGACGCCATCATCCAACATAATCTGTTGTTTGTATGGGGCAGCAATAACATTTCCTACTATTTCGGTGTATAGCAAACTTGGCTGTCTTATAATGTGTATGCTAGCCACTGTCTGCGGCACAGCATTTCTATCTTTGTTCCTCACTAGATCCACGAGAAATTGCCAAATACGCTTCCGAAAGATTCGTTAGAGACGCTGATCCTACCTACAGTCAAGTGGCTGGCGCGCTTACAACTGAGTTCAGGTAACTGGCCTTCCAGTCTGGGCTCGAGCATTGGTCATGACCGTCTGGTTCAGTGGTGTCATGGAGCACCCGGTATTGTGCCTCTTTTGCTTTGTGCTTACAAGGTGAGCACAGCCTAGGCCTCCTTCAATTTGCCTGCTATATCTGTTTTTTTGTATGTGCCTAGTCGATCTCAGCCTATCGGCTAAAACTAAGTCAAAAAGCTGCCATTGATTACAACTATTCATCGTACTGCGTTCTGGGGTTTTACCGTAGATCTCTCAACGAAACTCACGTTTGGGTAAAAAAATTTAACATTTCACATATTTCAAAAAATCTGAACGCCACTTATCTTTGAAGCAGGATTCAAATAAGGAAATTGAGTCATATGTAGCTAATGTTTGTAGTAAATCTTCAAGGCATAGTCAAAGTGGGGAATCGTTTCATTGTGGAGTGAGGGTTCCGTGTTGGTTGGTTTGAAATATCGCTTGGAGCTGTTTTATTGCTAAGGAGCCCTGGAACTCCCCAACACTGGGCATTGTAAAGTATTTGACCGAAAAAGGCAGGTGTAAACTCACCGGGTCTCTTCCCTGAACCTTAGTTATCTATTATTATTTAGACATGTGTGGTTATTTATGCTTCATTGAGATGGGATCAATGGTTCACTTGGGGTCTGACTGGCGGATGAAATTGGCGGAGGCAAACGAATTAATTAATGATGAAAGAATCGCCAAACGGGGTTTATTGTCCTCTTATAGATGACAGGAGACAAAGACTACCTAAGGAGAGCAGAACGGGGAGGAGAGGCAGTATGGGAACGTGGTTTGCTCACTAAGGGCTGTGGCCTCTGTCACGGATCTGCTGGTTCCGGTTACGCCCTTCTAAGTCTCTATCAACACACCGGGGACAAAAAGTACCTTCAAATGGCTGCAGCTGTGAGCTTTCATTTCGTTTTTCCTACCTTCTGAACGCTTTCGCTTTTCTAATACACACCTTTCCTTGCAGGTTGCTCTTTGGTGCACAGACTACTTCACACACGCCGAGAGAAAACCAGATCGTCCCTTGTCATTGTTCGAAGGTTCGCTACTCACCGTTATTGTTATTAATATGATCTGCTCGTCTATGTAGGAATTAACATTTTTGTCTACTAGGATTGGCGGGAGCAATTGCGTTTTTGGAGGATATGCGCCATCCAGAGACTGCAGAGTTTCCACTCCTTCATTAAGCAGGTTGAAAAAATTGCTTATTGGAATTGAATGACCTAAATGTTTCTTTTTTTGCAAGACAGGCTCCATTACTTTAAATTATTCCCCACTTTTGAATAAGAACTCGTATGTTAGTGACTGACGATAATTCTCATGCAGGAATTGCAAAAGTAGACAGTTGGAAGAGTTCAAGTACTAGCGGCTATCGCGACCTTTGGTCTATTCTTTTCGGGCGAAAATTAGTGAAACAATGAAAGAGCGGGGCTTGGACGGATTCGCACGTAGACAACCGGTGCATTGGCTTTGTACTAAAGGAAAACGCAAATTGTTTGGCCTTCAGACCTAGGCCGGGTTTAGGTTCTCATTTTTGTTTATTGTGGCAAAATAGCGATGTGAATGGAGCGTACATGCTACGACTGAAAGTCTCCAACTTCATCCTAACAGAAAGGTTGAGAATCGTGAATGTCCTTGTGCTCCACATATGCAGACATTTTTGGCGGAAGCGACATCTGCTGTCATCCATCAACTCAAGTCCACATTATGGTTTCTCTCAATGTACCCGCATATAGATGCCAGCATCCTGCATCCTTTTTACAGATCCTAGTGCAGTGCCAACATTTAGCAGTGGATGCACATAAAGGTCGAAAGACGCCTATACTCTAAATCCTGTTCCAATGATAGCAAACGCCTCAGAATCAGTTGATCTGCCAAGACGTCGATCGCTGGCCTTGGTGGCTTGTGAGCGTTTTCTAGTAAGTAGGTGCTACATTGCAATGGCTGATTCGGTAGCTTTGCTAGGAAAGGAGGACCATGTAAAACCTTGTATTGGCTTGAGAATCGGTATGGTTTTCAGATATTTCAGCATCTGTTATCGATTTTGCTTGGAGTACGGTGACATGTTGGATATTGCACAGGTCTGAAGGCTTCTCATTTTCGTAAATACGCATGGTTACATTGAGTGCTGTGCTCGGGACAAGTTTTTTTGCTCGATTATGTACAGCACTAGCGGACATCTTGATGATTTATCATGCCTATGTGAGCTTCAAACTAGGTTAAAGTCGATGTTTCTAAACCGTGCTATTCAGTTCTACATAGTACCTTTTTCTACGGTGCCGGAGTTTTCGGGATATCTAGTGGCTTCATCTGTTTACAAAGTCCGGAAATATCTTACCGGGTAGAATAAGACAGTAAGTGGAGCTGGATACATGTATTCCAGGGAGAACAAAGAAACTAGATCTAGGCGTGGCCCAAAGGTCGACCCACGCGTACAAGAGTGAAGCTGCTGGACAGCGGCTGGTCACACAAAGGAAGTAGTGGACCAAGGCATTGCAATATTCTCTGACCAACTATCTGTACTCATAAATAGAAAAATTTTGGTTTGGAGTCATCAATTAAGTTTGTAGCCAGCTCTATCCGTAAACATAATCGTGGTTGAATCCTAATTTGCAGAGTTCAATACTAGATCATTGTATCTGTCC